CATCTATCCTGTAAAGTAATTTGAAAATTCAGCGGTTCGGTAGTGCTGTTACTACCTCTAATTATTTTATTTGTCTAGTTGCTTGCTTCGAAAATGCCCCGGGAAACGAACGCAGAGCTCTCCTTCGTTGTCTGCCCTTCTTTCTTTCTTTCTTTCTTTCTTTCGACCTATCGGTGAATCGGTCACAAACAATATACCTTTGAATCTTTACTCCACGAAGCAACGTAAGGGTTTTCAGCTGTAAATAAAACTGGAATTGGTTGGGTACGATTGGTACCAATTCGTCCTCCATAAAACTTTCGTTTCGTTGGGGCAAAGAGCACCTCTGCCTTTGTCGTGTTTTTGAAACAGGGGAAAGCTCCGTGTGTTTCCGGATCGTTCGTTTTCCACGATATTCCAAAGTGAGACGATCGGAGATTGTCTAATTAATTATTTGAATTGAATCAGCATTTTCCCTTTCACTGTGATTTTCAGCAACAGAGGGTATATCTTACGTTTCTTTTTATTTTCTTCGTTTTTCCTTTTCAGAAAATATCATTAGAAGCTGAATACTTTATTTACATGAACAAAGAATTTGTAACCCTTTTAATTAACCCTTTTGAAAATCAAATTCACCTTCGGTGGGTGATAGAAAAGTGAAGTCACTTTTGTGGTTTTATTTATGCGAGCCAGCCCTCGGCCTTTACGAAATTCAGGAAGTGCGTAATTTATTTATTTTTACAAGGCGCGCCTTATTTATATTTCCACCACTATGAATTACTTTTTCAAATGTTGAATTCCACGCAAGAAATATTTTGATCCTTCAAACCATGGACATTTGATAGATGTTGTTAATCATCCTGTTGCAACTATCACTCTCACAGATTGTCATAATTATTATATGAACATATGTGAATGGATCTACACACTTTTATACAAGTACTTTTAAATACGTTAAATAAATATTTTATGTTAATTTCGTGTCATTTTACGTTATTCTTGGTTGTTTAACGTGCAATAAAATTTTCATTCCTTATGGAATAATATCTTTACATCGGATTTTATTTTTATTACAACGGCTTAAGGCAACAAATTTTTGGCTTCGTGAAAAATGGTGGATTTAGCTTGCAAGAAGGTACGTGTACCGTTACCTGCGAAAAGGTTAATTTATTAATGCAAAAGGGTGAACATAATTTACAAAATGTTTGATTTCGAGTACCATGTACCTGTGCGAGCAACCTGTGAATAAATTCGGATTGGTCCACCATCCCAATTCCACGGAATTTTTCTCCATCTATCCAGGGAGAGAATCCGATCTCAGAAATTCACAGTTCTCCATTTCAAGATCGGCGCGGCAACTCTTTAAGCCTCTCTCACGAGACCACGTCATGTCCCACGGGGACAGCGAACAAAACCTGAACATGACTCGGGGAATGTTAAAGGATTATCGAGGCCGTTTCAGCCTCGTACAGTGGAATCTCTCTCGGTTTCCGCCTTATCCGACAGCGAGATCGTTAACCGATCGTCGCAGCATGAATAATTTTCGCTGCTTTGTAACTGCATGACGGGGTTCCAAAATGTTATGACACAAAGTTAGTCAAACTCTACAATTCCTAACTTTTCATTTTTTTTTTTTTTTTTTTTTTTTTCTTTTCACGGCGAATTTTCGTTGAAACGATTTTTTACAGTTTTGATTGCTGCGTTTCTTCGACAAAATCTGTCACTCGAAAAGGACAGACTTACGTTTCCAGAGATTGGAAATCTGATCAAATTTCGAAGAAATGATTCCTGAAACTGATTTACGACTGTTTCGTACGTTGAGTGATTTGAACTTCGCAGAGTACGAAAATCGATCGATGTTCTCCGATTTTAACTTTTAATTGAAGAAGGGGCAACAGACGAGTCGCTGCGCCCGTCTCTTCATTTACACAATAAATCATCCCTATTTGCGCGGTTGTTTTTATACGATCGAATGCGGCCAGTCTCGTTCGCCGCAGAAAATATTTGTAGAGCTCTTGAACTGGCCACAGGGATCGGGAAATGCCATTCTAGGTACTGATCCAAACGAGATTTAAAAAAAAAAAAAAAAAAAAAAGAAATGCCAGGCAATTTACGAGAGATGAGTGACACAAACATAAACAGACATTCGAATATTTTAAAACGATGACGAGCGTCATTTTGAGACAACTAAAAGAAGATTTATAGCATAGCTTCTGACAACGAATGAAACTTATTTCTTCTTCTTGTTGGCCAATGTGAAGTAAATATTTCTATAACTCGTATCGTTGTAATTTTTCTTACCGGTATCTTCCTTTTCGTACCAGCCGACTTTACTTCATCAGCGTAAATAAAAAAAAAAAAAAAAAAAAAAAAAAAAAAAAAAAAAAAAAAAAAAA